GTGGGGGCCGCCACCCCAGCCTTTGGTTTCCTTCCTTTCGTCCCCTCCCTCCCCGCCGAGCCCGGCTCTGTGCCCTCTGCTCAGAGGAACGGTCTTCGGTTCTCCCGTGTGTGGAGACAGACCACGCTCGCCTGGACACCCCAAAACAGCAGGGACGAGGGTCATCGTGCTCAGCACTGCATCCACACGCCCAGCTTAGAGTCGGGCACATGGCGGGTGCCAAGTAACTGTCTGAACACGACCCTGTGATTAATGGGTCCTTCTCTCTTGTCCATCTGTGCTGGGGGTGGCTGTGGGTTTCGCATCCTTCCTCCCACAGGGCTGTCTGCGACTTTCTTCTCTTAACAGTTTCCACCACAGAGGGGAGTGGGAGTGGATACTAGTCAAGAGAACGGGGTGGTTAAGAGCCTGGATTCTATAGTGAGGCTGCCTGCATGTAAACCCTGGTCACTCACCTCCTTCTCGTCCTGGGGTAAGTTACTTAGCATCTCTGCGCCTGACCGTCGTACACGCCTCACAGGCTCACGGAGGCTTCTGCGAGCCGTGTGAGCGCCGACAGCCCCACCTGAGTACGGCAAGCCCTGCACGCTGGCGTTACTACTACTGCCTTCCCACTGCTCTCTTCCCGAGCACCTGCCATGAACCGGGCTCGTGCAAGACTGGGGTTCAGCAGCAAATCCAGCCCAGAAGGATTAAAAGGATTCTAGTTCCTCGAAAGCTCTGCGTGTTCTGGCTCCCCTCAGGGTCTTTGCACGTGCTGTTCCAAAGGACTGGGGTCTCATCCCTGCTTTCAGCCCACACGGCCCCTCCTCCAGGAAGCCTTCCTTCACCTGCTCCCCACCGTCAAAGCTATCTTAGGTACTTTCATCTGTCCTCTTTCAACACCCTCTGTGCCAAATTAAATCGCAGACGTGTTCCCATTGTACCGAAGTCATCTTGTCTGCTTGCGTTTCCGTCTCCTCTCCGGGGCTGTGAGCTCTGTGAGGCTCATCCCAGGCCTGCCAAAGTGACTCGCTGATTAGATAAACAACCGAATGCCCAGAAAAAAAATGAACGCTCAAAGCTGGTTCTGTAGGTGGTGAGCTCTCCTTCCTAGAGGTAATCAAGCAGAGGCAATTCCAGCTTCCCCAAAGACAAGCGTGGAGCTGACCAGAGCCTGCCCGCTGCCCTGCAATCCTGGTTTCTGCACGAGCCGCTCTGAGGCCACAGAAGTGCTGAAGGACCAGTGAAAGGACTGCTTCCTGGGGCTAGGCGCACCCAGGACCCAATCTACTCACTTTCCAGCTGTTTCTCAAGTTCTTCTCTGATGAGCCGCCGCAGGATGTCCATGGATGGAGACTCCCCCTAGGAGGGAGGAAGGTGGAGTTCATTTATCTTTCCAGGAGCTCCTGCACCCTGAGACCCCTGATGGCTCAGGAGACAAGGGGGGGTCACATCTCCCTCGTGCAGTCCCTGTGACACCCGGAGTCGCCTCCTCTCACCCCCTCGCACAGGCAGCATCTCCAGTCTTGGATGATGCCCTGGACTCCGGGCTCCTGAGGCCCCTGCCGCGTCTCCCTCCCCTCCACGCCTCCCACTTCTCAGCTGGGTCTCCTTCCCCACAAAGCTCTTTCCCAGCACTGGACCGGAGGCCCGCTCTGACGCTCCTCCCCGCCAAAGTCCTGGGGACCTGCAGGACCAGCTCCCAGGTGGCCTCCTGCACTGAACTGTGTTTGATTGCCTCCCTCTGGCCACTTGGCCGCTCTGGACCCCAGGGTCTGGCTTTCCCTGCTCTGTACACGTTGGCTCTGTGCAGGTGTCTGACACATTCCTGGGGCTCAGGTCACAGAAGCAGAGGAGGCTGCGGGTCACAGAAGCCGAGTGCTGCCTCTGGGCTCCCACGGTCACGTGGGCTCCTTAGAAGGACCCGTGAGAACAGCCCGCAGGAGAGAGAGGGCTCCTCCCTCATCCTCAGACTCCATCCTGGCAGAGTCCATCCCAAGGGTGCAGCTCTTCCTGTGCCCATCTGGGCAGCCCTGGCACCTGCCACCACATGAGATGGATTCCGTTTCCTTATTCTTTTTCTTTTCTGGCTACTAATCTTTTATGTTAGTCCTGGAATGCCCATGGCTACCCGCAGCCGCAGGAACAGGAGAACTCGACAAAGACTCAGCACAGAGGGGATGGGGCTGTGGAAGCCCCCCATCTCCGGCACCCCACACCTGGCTGAGAGATGGGATCTGGCTGCCCGGCCTCTTCCAGGGCAGCTGAAACTCCAGCTGACCATGGTCCCTGGGAAGTGACAGGACCACAGAGCCAGCGGGGCACCGGAGGTCACTAAGCCTGTGCTCTGAGGGATGTGAGGGTCCCCAGAAGACCACATGGGTCACAGAGAGGGGAGGTAGGATCACACGGACCTGGCAACCAGCCCCCACCGGCACTTCCACTGAGCTCTGCTTTTTTCTCTCTACAGCTAACGCATGCCGATGTTAGCAGTCTGTGCAAAGTAAGAGTTCTGCCACTAGAATAAAATGTGTTCGAAGAAAAAAAACTGCTCTAAATAAACCTTTCCTTTTACTTTTGGGAAAAGCAAGACTCAGAGGGAAGAACGTGTGCTATGGACAGGCAGAGAGGAGAGAGGCAGAGCCAGGCATCGGACGGAGGCAGGTCGGTCGCAGAGAGCCGCTGGCATCTTCTCGGGAGCCTGTCGCACGGGGCCCCTGGGCAGGAGAGCCCAGTGGCCAAGGGCGGAGCAGGAGACAGGCTCTACTCTTGAGAAGCTTCTTACGCCACACACGCGTTTTTTACTTAACCACCTCAACACACCTGTCAGGAGGAGGCTATCCTCACCCCTCTGGGCAGACACGGAAGGGCAGGCTCAGAGAGAAGTAAACGGGGAGCCCCATGTTTGAGGCATCACCAGTGTCCTTACCCTCAGTCCGGGAAATCCTGGCTGGCCCGGAGGCCCCGGAGGCCCGACTGGCCCGTTCTCCCCAGGTGGCCCTGGGGGGCCCATTGGGCCTGTATAACCTTTGTGGCCTGGGATTCCAGGGTCCCCAGGCTGGCCCTTCCCACCAGGAGGTCCTTTGTCACCTTTGATGCCAGGATCTCCCTAGAGGGGAAAACAACGTGTCAGTAAGCAAAGGACTGGAAGGTGCTCCCAGGCCAGACAAGACTTGCAGATGCAGGAGGCATTCCCCGGTCCTCGGCCTCCGGCAGGCCTGGAAAGGAACCCTCAGTCCTGGCGGCAGTCTGCAGAGGACAAGACGGGAGCTCTGATCTCCAAGTCCCAACCCCGTGCTCCGTCCCAGCGGTGCAGCTCCTGCACTGGCTACAGAGGCCAGCCTCCGAGACCAACACTGGAGCCTCTGGCCCGGTTCTGGCCCGATTCTGTCCCCTGTCCGCTGGAGGGCCAGTGGCAGTCGTCAGACCCAAGTGTCTCACTTTCAGTAATCGCCCCCCACCTCTCGCAGCTCTAGGGACCCGGGGAGGACGGACACTGCCTGGGCCTCTTTCCCTCCATCTCTGGCCCAGACACTGAAGCCCTGGATCAATGATCTGGGAACCATGGCAACCACGGGACATCCGGTCCTCTGCCCCATGTGCCACTGTGTATCTGACCAGCAAGCCTCAGTTGTCGGAGAGTCTGAAAGGACAAAGGCCACGTGAACGGCCTCAGGGTGTAAAAGCTCCACTGCAGGGAGCAGCAGAGAGGGAGGAACCGGGAGAAAAAGAAGAGCAACAGATGGCAACAGGACATGGGCCGCCACAATGGTGGACATGAGGAGGAGGCCGGCGCAGTTATGAAGCCACCTGGGACAGACACACGTGAAAACGGGAAGAGCCAAACAGCGGGCAGAGGCTGCTACGTCCTGGGGGTGAGCGGAGGCCCGTGCAGGCCCGCGCGCACAGTCCCGGGGAGGACGCCGAGCACGCGCACGGTGACGGACCTGGACCCGAGGGGCCGGGGCCAGGGCCACGGTGGAAGGGGCAGCTCCTCCTCGCTGCAGTGTCTGCTCCGCGATTTGCCTTGTGTGACTATGTCTCCACGCTGCTTTTGTTCAACCAACAGAACAGTGAATTACAAAGAGAATTTAGCCTGATCTGAGGGGGCACCTGGGTCTCCACAAGGTGATGCGTCTCACGGGGACGCTGTTGTCGTTCGCAGGTGACCTCAAGGCTGGGGTCCGCGGGAGTCCGGGCGCTCTGTGCGCCTCAGTGCCCAGGACTGTGGTGCGGCACCTCCTGGCTCATCCAAGCCCTCGGCCTCCCGTGGCAGCGAGAGGGCCTGTCTCCTGCTTCACACGTTCCCCGGAGCGCTGCCTGGCAGCGCTCCACGGCGCCGCTTATCCAGGGCAGGGCAGCTCTCTGTCACTAACTCGGCATCAGAGAAGACTCCATTCACTGATTAGGTATTAGAGAAGATTCATATTTGTGGTCTGAGTGCCCTGGCTCCCTGTCAATACTCAAGCCGCTCCCCGCACGCAGTGGCTCCAGGGGCGGCCGCAAGCCCCTGGGCGGCAGGACCCTCAGTGCCTTCTCAGCTGCAGCCCCCTACCCACTCCCGCTCCATCCTCAGGAACCAGCAGCCCTGGTGCCCGAAGTCACCGGGAAGGAAGGAGGGAGAGAGGTCAAGAGGGGGTGAGACTCCCTGACGCTCTCTGCTTCTATTTTTCTGTTCCTAGCTCGTAGGGGAAACCAGCTCCTCACTCAACCAGCTTGCAAGGAAAGCAGAGACAGTCTTCGCAGGACCACAAAAAACGAGCCGAGGGCGAGTGTGGGGTGACGGCGCCGTCCGTGTCATGCAAAGTGGGACAGTGTGACCGCGGACCAAATGGAGGGCTGTGGGTGAACGAGATGTTTAGTTTCTCTGAAAGGAGCAGCAGGTGTCAGGAGTGGGAGAAGGCCCCCTCCCCGCACTGGTGTTTCTGAAAAAAAAGGTGTTTTTTGGAGGAATACAGTGTAAAGAAAGGCCTTTAGAGCACAGCGCCAGGGAGATTCATTATGGGAAAATCTGTTGCCTTGTCACCTCCGGGGACAAATCTGGCTCCTGGCAAATTGGCACCTTGGGCTCTGAGCACGCCGCGCACAAGCTTTCACACACAGAGGGAAGGAGAGAGGAATCTGTCAAAGTCTGGAAGCACTCGCCTTTGAATTTGTAATTGCGATGATTTTACTCCTTAAAATAACCCAAAAAAAAAAAGGGGGAAAACCAACAACTCCAACTGCGACGACATCGGGGGGAACCTCCCTCCGCTCATGATTTTCGGAGGACGCTGAACACAGAAGCCACCACAGAGCCAGCTCTCCACGCCAGGCTGCTTCCTAAAGCTTTGGACACAGTCCCCTTGCCACCGTGGAAGGTGACCACGACCCCACTTACCCTTTCTCCTTTGGGTCCTGGCTCTCCAGGCTTCCCAGGGGCCCCCTGCAATGAAACCGAGGGAGGGTGGTCACTCAACCAGCCATCCCACCTGCCTGGGCACCTCTGCCCTTCCCGGTTCTGCAGGCCGCTGTGTGCTAAGGACAAGGGGTCCTGGAGAAGGTGGGTCGTCCGGGAGTCCTCTCCAGTTGTGCAGAAACTGCAGGCCTGACCCACTTCCCTCCATCTCCTCTCCTCCGGCCAAGGCCCACCCTGGACCGCCGGCACCAGCCATGGTGCAGAGTGAAAACGGGTCTTCCTCATTCAGGAGGGAGGGTGCGGACTTTGAAGGAGACAAGCCAGTTTGCACAGAGCTCACAGACACAGCCTCTGGGTTATTTCCTCTGCATTCATTCACTCTTGTGTTCATAATTTATCGGAGTCTTGAATCTGCTCTGTCCCAGGCACCTGGGCCACAGGAGAACAGAGCAGGGTGAGAGGACAGAGGATACTGGGGTATCTGCTTGGTTTCAAGGCGGTCAAGGAAAGCGGGCAAAGGCAACATTTCAGCACAGACTTCAGGATGAGCAGGAATGGGTGTGGGAAGGGTGGGGAAGCCGGGGAAGGGCTTTTTGGAAACAGGGCCCAGTGTGTGTGAAAGCACTTGGGAAAGAACATGGCATGTTTCAGGACCCAGAAGGCCAGAGCGACTGGCGCGGAGAAAGCGAGAGGTCTCGGAGCACCCTGGACTCTGCTGACAGCTCCGGTCTGAACTGGCAACTGACATGGCCTCACGTGTGTTCTACACCAGAGGTCACCATGGGTGCTGGGTGGAGCAAGACTGAAGAGGGGCAAGGCTGGACCAAAGCAGCCGGATGGGAGGTCACTGCAAATGCCCGGGTGAGAGATGATGGCGGTCCAGGTTAGGGCCCAGCGGTAGAGAAGGGGGGAGCTGGACAGAGCTGCGACGTACTTGTTGAAGGATCGGGTGCAGAGAGACAGAGAAGTGAAAGAGACATATCCAGATGGTACGGGGGACCGGCTTCAAGATCTGTGGGCCTCATGCAAAATAAAGTGCGGACCCTTCCTCAGAAAGCATTAGGGGTTTCAGCACAGCGATGGCGGGACACGGGGCAAGTGCGGGAGTCCTGAGAGGCCCGCGAGCCCGCGTGTGTCGCCGCCCGTGCAGCGACCCCGTGTCTCCCCGAGGAAAGGGGCCCCGGAGGAGGAGGGGTGCGGTACTTGCCTCCTTGCCCGGGACTCCGTTCTCCCCGGGCTCTCCCTGCGAAACAGAACAAGGTCCCAGTTAGCTCTGCTGTGGCAGCACAGCCCAAGCCCGTGACCGTCTGTGAAACAGACGCTTCACTCAAGTCCTGCTCCGGCAAAGACAACTGCCAGCGGCCCACCAAGGGTTTCTCAGATGGGGCTCTTCGCTCAGCCTGGGCAGAGGAAGGCAAGCAACGGTCCCGGGGAGGAAGCAGAATCACCAGTCTTGGCTCCTCGCCAACGGGATGGCTGTGACGCCACCAGGCGGCCTCTGGGATGTCCATTTTACAGATTATCTAGTTGTGCAGGAGACTCCTCTGAGAAGCAGGCTCACGACCAGTAAGACACTGGGCGCTGGAGTCGCCTGTCTGGGTTAAATCTTGGCTCCTCCACTTACTGGATCTGTGACCTTGGACAGTCTCCTTAAAACTTCTTTACACCTTCTGTGCCTAAGTTTCTTCAACTCTAAAATGGGACTAGTAGCTGTATGGTGCAGACAGATGACCTGCCACCATCGTGACTAAGGGGTAACTGAGTGCAGAAGAGTTGGCACCTGCTGACCGGAGGCACAGATTACTACTCGGGGGTACAGGAGGGGACTTGGGCCTTTAACAGCGGGGCAGCCAAGTGAATAAGGCTCAAGTGAGGATCAGTGGACAGAGCACGTGAGGGCTCAGGCTGCGAGGAGGACAAGGGAGGAGGGGTCACCACTTGGATGGCAGTGCGGGCCTGGCCGTGGGTCCCCCTCAGAGACAAGAGTTCAGCCGGAGGGGGAAGGACAGCAACGTGGGAAGACCATCTACTCTTGGGTGTTTCATACAACCCTCGTCACCGGTCAGCAGGCCAGTGCAGAAGAAACCAGGGGGCCCAGCTGGACGTGGGGCGTCCTTTCACATCCCTCTGCCCGGACACCTGGCAAGCATCCGCCTCCAGCTTCTCTGCATCGAGCTGTCACTCAGGAGCGCTAGATGCCAGCACCAGTGGGAGCAGAAACTGACCATGTGGCCTTGAATAAACCACCACCTTGGTCTGACCCTCCGGCCCGGCCTCAGTCTCCTTTAGGACCACTTCTAGGATCCCTGAAGTTCTAGGGCCCCCCTCCCCCAACGGCCACCTCTCATGGTTACAGGCGCTGAGTGCCAGCGGTGGCGGGGTGCCGCTGCTGCCCCCTCTGGAGTCATCTGGGCCAGTCCTCGCGGGCAGGCGCTGCCGTCACCCCCGCCTGACTAGGGAGGAAGCCAAGGCGCAGGGGCCGCGGGGGCGGTGAGCCGAGCGCCCCGCGCAGGAGTCACCTCTGCGCTCACGCTTTCGTCAGCCCGCTCCCATGTCCCCCAGACCACGACGCGACTCTGACCGCATGCCAGGTCGCAGCGCCCAAAGCAGAGCAGGTGCGCCTGAGGACGCAAGAGGTGGTAGGAAACGTGCTGAACGTGACCCTCACACCCAGAGCCAGGCACTGTGGCCCCCACCGGGACGCTCTGCTTACCTGAGGCCCACGGGGACCCAGGAAGCCAGGGAGTCCTGGGCTGCCGTGTTCTCCCTTGGTGCCCTTCTGGCCCTGCAGAGGGAGATGCGGTTCATTCCTCAAGGTCCAGGGCCAACTCAAGAAGATGCAGAAACCGTGTAACCCCTCTGTACCCCGAAGGCCTGACTCACGGACAAAGCAGAAGAACAGCCCTCTCCTGTACTGGAGGGGGCGCTGGGGGGAGACCCGGGGGGCAGTGGGCCCCCAGCCATGGGGCGGGGGGGCAGGAGGAGAGCTTCCTGTAAAGAGTCAGAGGCTTTTCCATTCAAGGCAACGGAAATAGAAAGGGACAAACATTCAACCCAGCCACCCTGATGTGCTGGGGGCCCTCCCTCCCAGTGACCTCCCAGTGACCTCCCAGGGGGGCAGAGTTCCTCTTCCCAGTCGCCGGCAACTCTCCTGCTTTGGTAGGATCACTTTCTGGAAAAAGTGTTTGAGGATCTTTCAGCTTCAACCTCTCTGGGGAGCCACCACAGGCGGCCCCCTCCTCTGAGGCCAGCTCTGCACCGGGGACGGGTCCACCTCATGACCCAGTGTGGCCCAGTCTGGCCCTGGCTGCAGCGTCCCAGCAGCAGTGACAGGACTCACACAGTGGCTCCTACGGAACAGCACCACTCGTGCTAAGGGGTCAGACTCCACGCGGCGGTCCCCGGCCCAGCGGGAAGACGGAGCTCCTAGGATGACCGGAGGCCCAGTGGGCCTGGGGATGACGGGTTTCCCAGGAGGCAGAATTTTCAGGGCGACCATCAGGAAGGTTCCCAGCAAACCAGGATGAGCGGGTCACCCTAGTTTCCATGGTGACCACAGTGAGCCGGCCAGACTGGTTTGCCCGCTGCCCAGTGAAATGACTGCCTGAGCAGCACACCACGAGGGTGGCCTTCTCAATAAGGGTGCCAGTTTTAGCAAGTGAATAAGCAGTAAGGCTGGGCCGGGAGGAGACTAGTGGTCAGGCCTGACTTACGCACCCCTGGACCCATCAAAGTCCCATGCTCCCCACCATGTCTCCGCACTGAGCAGGCCTGAACCCCACACCTTGGATCCTCGACCCAGAGACCAGGACTCTGCTGATGACTCGTGCCGCCCTCTTCCTCTACCTGCTGGTTGTCAGTGGCGAGAAGCAACAGTGCTCTCCCCACCCCTGCCTCCTAACCAGGAGGAGGACCCTCTTCAGCCAGGTCTGCGCTACACCCGATCCCACCACACACGCTGACCCTGCTGAGCTGGCAAGGCGCAGTTGGCCTGCCCTGGCCCTCCACCCTCTAAAAACATCAGACAACCACCGTGCAACCTGATCACACATTTTTTTTAAGTCTTTAAATAGTCCTGCCCTGTTGATGCCTATGGTCATAGACAACAGCATGCGCAGTGCCTCATCACATGCATTTTAAACTTTGAAAGAGGTCCTTCTTGGAGCCTCTGGCCTCCAGCCTCGTCCCATGGTCCAAACGCTGCATCTGATGCTCCCCGCAATGGAGACAGACCACACACCCTTCAAAACTCGCCCTGGTTCCATCACAGCAGTGGGACCGTACTCACGGGGTTTCCTGGAGCGCCAGGGTCTCCTGGAGAGCCAGGCGGTCCGTTCTTACCCTGGTGGAAGAGACAGAAGGAAGGGTTCTGCCAGGACTCTCGGCCAGGATGTCACAGAGCAGGACGGTGGAACAGCGAGGCTGCCCGATGTGGAGGGCCTGATTTCACACTTAGAGCTGTGACTCAGACAGCACGGCTCTCAGAAACCCACCTCGTTGCTTAGAGGACGCGTCTCAACTTGTAAAAGGAGTCTGATATACTGCGAGTGTGGAATTGTTGTGGAATTGAATGAGCTCATGTGCCCGTGAGTTCTAAGTTCACTCATTCATTTATTCCATTACTCATTCAAAATATGCACACGTACACACAAGCTATGCAAAATAAGCAAGCTGCAAAGATAAAACTGTGTGACAATTGTGCATTCTGTCTATATGCTAGTAGGTGTATTGAAAATATTCTCAGAGACACGCAAGATGCTGTTAACAGCGGCTGCCTCTGTGGGAGGTGGGGATGAGGAGGCAGCCTTGTCTTTGCTTTGTAATACCCATTCCGCGTGCGTCCTTGCACCATCCCCGCAGATCACGTCCGCGCGCCCACACCCAGGCGCGCAGATCGCAGCAGCCCCTGTGGGAGGGTGTGTGCCCCCCTTCGCACAGACCTAGGAATGTGAGTAACCGCTTCCGACCTCCCTCTCCCATATTCTCTCAGGCTGCTCTTGGATAAGAGAATGACCTGCTTAAGTGCATAAAGGGGCAGAGATAATATTCAAAACATCTGTTAACCACGTGGTGGGTCCCCTCAGCCCCAACCCACACGTGAAGTCCTACTCCCCCCGTGTCAGAACTTGACCTTATTCAGAAATGCGCACGTCATTCAGTAAGAGGAGGTCATACTGCAGTGGGGCGGCCCTGATACAATGACTGGTGACTTTATAAAAAGGGGACGTTGCACCAGAGACATGCCCACAGGGGGAGTACCACTGAAGATGAAGGCAGAGACAGGGCGATGCTTCTACAGGCCCAGGAAGGCCGGGGATCACTTGCAAGCCACCAGGTGCTAACAGAGGCACGGGACGGCTCTCCGGCAGGAGGAGCCAGATCTGCAGGCTCCCTGACCCGGGACTTCCAGCTCACAGAGCGTGAGGCTAGCAACGTCTTGAACTTCTAGGCTCCATAACCGAGAGCCGGTAAGTTCTGTTGTTCAAGCCCCTCCCTGTCTGGTTCTTTGCTCTGATAGCTCGAGTGAACGAGGAATGTGCCCCGAACATCAGAACGTCCTAAAGCTGGAGAAGGACTGGAGGGGCGGTCCCACAGGACCCCTGCCGTGCCAGGGGGCAGCTTTTAAATTTCTGGATTGTGGGGAGGTGGTCCCAGAAGAGAGCCTTGGGAATGTGTGCTGGGGCCACAAGGCGGGGCCCAGGGCAGCGGCTATCTATCAACTGCTAAGACATTCTGTCACTTTTTCAACAACCCAGAGGGCTGCACCAGGATGAACCGACCAAACACCACCATAGGAAGAGGCCTTGCCAAAGCACGGAGCAGGCTGGTCCCAAAGCAAAACTCACCGGCAGGCCCCTCAGTCCTTGGGGACCCTGTGGCCCTGTGGGTCCCATGTCACCCTGGAACAGAGAGAGGTCAAGTTATCACAGTTGTCACAGGAAGACGATGGAGGCGCAGCACCAAACATGGACCAGAGTTCACCCAGTTCCCAGAGGGAACCAGCAACGGTGTCCAAGACGCTTCATCATGAATCACCCCTCCGGCCACGTGTGGATCAGCTTGCTCCCAGCAGACGAGGAGACGCAGGAACCACCCCCCGGCCCTGACACTCACTGACTCAGGTACCTGCTTAGACATTTTCCACTGGTCCCACAGGGATTTCAGGGGCTCCGCCTGGAACCCAGGGGAGAAACAGGGAAGAGGACTGCTCTTGGAGTTGTGCTCCTGAGTCACTGGACAGTGACCTGGAACCGTTCCTGCCTCAGTCACCACGGGAAGGAAGAGCCCACCTTCCGGGGGTGCAGCAGGGGCGGTTCACCGCCACCACCTCCATGGTTTTCCCGGCAGCCTCCTGACATGGGGATAATTCTCCCCATGTTATACATGAGACAACAAGCTCGGCCATGCTCCTACACAAATGAGACGGCAGAACGCTCTAGAAGATGGCATTTTTAAATGAAAAGTCAGACAGCTGAGAAGGAGGGAAGAAAACATTTGCACTCTGACCTCGCATCCCAGGCTCCTGTCCCTGACCTTGCAGGGTGAGCTGAGCCCACCTACACTCCCGCCTGGGGAGCTCCTCTCACGCCCTTTACTGAAATTCAAGTGAGAAAATTATACTGTGTAGCACAGAGAAATACATACAAGGTCTTGTGGTGGCTCACAGTGAAAAAGAATGAGATGATGAATATATATATGTTCATGTATGACTGGAAGCCTACGCTCTACACTGGAAATTGACACAACATTGTAACTCAGTAAAATAAAATTAAAAAAATTAAAAGAGGGATTGATTCGACCAGGATTTTCAACGGCCCTGCAGCGCCTAAGAGGCGCCTTCGCGGCCCCGGGCCAAGGCAGCTGCTCTGCTTTTAACTGCATGCGGGCCCTCCGTGCTCTAGGCTGGTTTTGTAAAATGGATTCCACTGCTGGGGAACAGCAGGTGATAGATGGGATTTCTCCCAAGGTCCTTTGTGGCTCCATCATCCAAGAAGACAATGCACACCGGGGGCCAGGGGACGGAGCACACCTCACAGCGCAGAAAGGCAGGTCCTGAGGACACAAGGGGGCGGGCAGGGGGCCGCTCTGGACCTCAGGACCCTGTGCTCATGCTCCTGGCCAAGCGCCCGCTGCCAGGAGGCCGCGCTGTGTGCACGCACGTCGGACCTCCCTGCAGGGTGTCGTGTGCCAAGACCGTCGCCCTGGCCTGCGGGGTGCGGAGCCGATGGGTCTGGGCTCCTTGCTGCCTCCCCCTGCCCCTGGCTCTCTGTGTGACAAGTAAGTCTCTTGATCTCTCTGGGTCTTGGTTTCTTCTATCGGTGAGATGGGGGTAAAGATGAGCTGCCCCACCCTGATCCCAAGGCCACAAGTCAGGGAGCAGGCGGGGAGCACACAGCGCTCCACAGCACGCGGCGGCGGAGCCATGATGGGTTCTTGAGCCAACAGAACATCGGAGGTGGGGAAACGATCGGGGAGAGGCTCTGCAATGCCGCTCACGTTCGTCTGAGGCCAGATCCAGCAGCACATCACTGATGCCCACAGAGAGCTCCGGGCTGACTCAGCAAAGCCCCCTCGTCTGGCACATAGCAGAGGCACCAGCCATCAAGTGGAAGTCCAGATCCCAGGGCCTCGTCTGGGACCCCACGGCCCGTGCTGCTGGCAGGTGAGACACCATCAACAGAGCCTAGAATTCACCCATGAGTCCCTCCGCGGTGGCACCAACCACCCTGCTCCAATTTCGGGGCATCTCTTGGTCCTTCACTAAGCACATTCTCTACATCCCCTCCCACCCCCACAGGCCCGGCCGGGCCCCACAGGACACCCAGACTCACGTCTTTTCCTGGTGACCCTTCCTGGCCAGGGGGCCCCATGGCACCAGGCTCTCCCTAGGAGGTGAAGCAGAAACAAAACAGGTGCTGTTAGGGGGAGATGCAGAATGCTGCTGTCTCAGCCGCGGTGGTCTTGGAGCATCTGAGGGGGTGGCTGGGAGGACAGCCCCTGGGGGACTGGAAAGTGCCCCGCTGAGCCCTGACCCTGGGCTGGGTCAGCAGGGGCCCCAGGGCCAGCTCTGCATCCTGGGCCATGCTCTGCCTCTCTGAGCTGCAGGGAGACACCTGCGGGACGGTCAGGAAACCGCCTGAATTCTACCTCCTCACCTGCTGACCCACCTGGCCCTCTGCACCTCAGCTCTCTCCTCGTCGTACAGAGCGTGGTTAGGGCGGGGGGCTAACCGGTGGACCCTGAGATCCCTTCTGTTCGGGCACGTGGAAGAGATGGAGGAAGGTAACGGAGAAGAAGACAGGACCCAGGCCATCTGGGGAAAGCCGATGCTTTGCACACATCAGCTCTGGGACCTCGGGGGAGCCACCCACAGCCTCTGGGCCTCGGGTCCCTCCTCTGTAAAGCAGGCCTCGTAACAGCCCTGGCCTCATAGGACTCGTGACAGCAGGTCCGCGGGGAGCACAGCCGACAGTGACCCACCAGACTCCAGGCTGACTCAGTCAAGGTGGCTGTATGTCGGGGTCTGGTCCCCAGGAGAAATGTCTAGAAACACTAGACGAGGAGGACGCTCCCAGTGATGCCACTGTCCTCTCTCAGGCGACACAGCACAGCGCCACGGCCGGGCCCAGGGCCCTGCTAGAAGGGCCAGCTCAGGCGCACCCGGGGTGGCCGGATGGAGAGACGCCCACTTACTCGGGGGCCAGGGGGGCCAGAATCGCCCGTGTGTCCCTTGAAGCCCTAGAAGGAAGAGAATGAAGTTAGTCCACCAAAGGTCAGGCTGATAGCTCGGGACTGGACAGACACCTGCGAGACAGCCCAGCTGAGCCCAGAGCCCTCTCTCTGTGCCTCTCCTGACTGCCCTCGTCCGTAACCAGCTGCAGTGTGTGGGGCCCTGCTCGGCACCAGGCACGGGCCAGGTCCCTGGTGACTGCCTGGGTGGAGAGGCCCTTCCTCCTGGGCACTCTGCGAGTGGGCAGGGCTGCAGGGGCCTGTTACACAAATGCCACCCGCAGAGCGTTGGGGGGGAGGGAGGGAGGAGGGATAACGCTGTAGGAGAAAGAGGAAGAGCCGATCTGCGGAGCCCGGCCGTGTCCCCGCCACGGTCATCACACGTGCTCCCATCACAGCACAGGGAGGTCCTGCAGGATGGGCTGTGTTTTTCCCACTTTGTAGATGAGGAGCTCAGGCCAATCACAGAGAGTAAGTGGTGGAGGCAGGACTCCAAGCTGGGTCTGTCTGACTGCAGCGTACATCCCTCCACGTCACACTCCACTCAAGGAGGCAGCAGTTTGTGGCCCGACAGGGCCCTCGGGGCCAAGGCCAAACGCCTGCGGCTGCCTGCACCAGGCCCTTCTCAGACCCTAACTCCCGATTTTCTCTCCTGGTTTCAGAAAGCACGTGAAGACCTTCCGGGGAGAAGACAGCCCTCAGGGCTGGCACCGCTCCTGTGGGGGGTTGCAGTTAGCACCCTGCAGACGTGCTGTGTGATTCCGCCCCACTTGGGGGGTGAGAATGGGTGGTCTTGGGAGGGAGGCTCTGAAGGTCCTTCCCCAGGGTGGGATCAGGGTGGTGCGGCGGAGAGGGACACTCCCGGGCCCTGGGAGGGGCGGGAGGAGGAGCGGGAGGAAGAGGACGTCGTCTCAGTTGGATTCCAGATTCAACCACTGTGACCTCAGAGGAGTCACCTTACCCCTCAGAGTCCTAGCATCACCGCCTGTGAGATGAGGGTAGGAAGACACACCTGGCAGAGCTTCACGGGATTAACCTACAGAAAGGGGCGTTCTATGCTAGTAAGTTCGAGGAGAAGGGCTGACTCTGGAGTCGGGTCTGGAACGGAACCACGGCGCCCCACTTTCTAGCTGCGGGTCTTGGGTGCTTTCCTTCTCTTCACTGGGACTGAGTTTCCATAGCTGTAAAATGGGGGTAGAAGCTACTTCTGCAGAGCTGCTGTGAGGATTGTAAAAGAGATAAACAGTGCCCCCCACTGTTTGAAATAGGCCAGTGCCCTTTCCCTGGAGGGGGACAGGGCCTGCCTGGGTCCCAGCATCTTCCCTGAAGACACTTGAATCCCAAATCCAGCCAGCTCAGAGGCAGGGAACCTGGTTGCTCTCCTCCCATATAATCGTGGCCAAAGCACCAACTGAGGGAGCCACGTACAATGTCCCTGTCACCCAGCTGAGAATTTTACATGTTTCACCTTCTACTTTAGTACTGCCAACGACCCTATAGAAGTGGGAGCTATTCTGATACTCATTTCACAGAAGAAGAAACAGAGGTTCAGAAAGGTCCTCTGACCAAGGTCACAAAGTTAATAAATGAAAAGTGAAAGCTGAACCCAGGCCTGTCCACCTCAAAACTCACACCTCTAACTCATGTCATGCCAGCCCGGGGCGGGGGGTCTTTGTTCCCCTGCCTGGGTCTCTAACCTCCGTCCCTGCACTGAAGTAGGATTCCTTACAACTCTCAGCTGAGAGATGGGTCTTTCCCCAACTCAGGTCCCAGTAAACGGATCCCCTTGGCTGAAAAAAGGGAAAAAACCAAAAACCAAAAACAACAACCCTCTCCCTCCAATAAACCAAAAGCAATCGTAAAAACAAATAAAAAACAAAAACCAAACAGGAATTCTGGGTTTTAATCCCCCATAAGAGGTGGCATTCCCAATTCTTAGGTTTCTTCTTCTGGTGCAATCAAGTGAAAAACAAGGAGATTCAGGGAAAAAGGAAAGTGTTATTTGTGTTTAATTTCCTCCTTATTGAATAATACTAGCCAGGTGAGTTATTGATTTTTTTAACAGTAAAACACATTAAAGAGATAGAA